TTTTCCCAGACATGGCAAATTTTTTTGACACCCCCAGGCATTCTCCTGCCACCTCACAAAATTTCAAGGGGGGTCGTCGGAGGAAATTTCTTTTCGTAATATAGCTCATATAATGAGAATTTCACTCGCGTTCACTTTTTAGCCCTCGTCGAGGGCTTTGAGTCTAATCGACAGTTTTCCCTAAAGGTCAAGCCATTGACCTAAACGTATGCAAAAAAAATAGCCAGATATACCGAGTTTAAGTACCCTAAAGTCTGCGTTGAAATGACCCTATGTTTTCCCCATAAAATACAAAGATTATATGGGGAAAAACAACTGGTCAGTTTTGACCCCTTTACGAAGTTTTCCCAGATATGCCGAGTTTTTTGTGACACCCCCAGGCATTCTCCTACCACCTCACAAAATTTCAAGGGGGGTCGTCGGAGGAAAATTTTTTTCGTAATATAGCTCATATAATGAGAATTTCACTCGCGGTCACGTTTTAGCCCTCGTCGAGGGCTTTGAGTGAAACTGACAGTTTTCCCTAAAGTTCAAGCCATTTACCTAAGAGCATGCAAAAAATTAGCCAGATGTAAAGACGGTAATTACCCTAAAATCCGTTTTGAAATCACCCTCTGTTTTTCCCATAAAATACAAAGATTATATAGGGAAATACGACTGGTCAGTTTTGACCCATTTCCCGATTTTTCCCGGACATGGCGAGTTTTTTGTGACACCCCAAGGCGTTCTCCTAGCACCTCACAAAATTTCAAGGGGGGTCGTCGGAGGAAATTTTTTTTCTTAATAGAGCTCATATAATGAGAATTTCACTCGCGGTCACTTTTTAGCCCTCGTCGAGGGCTTTGGGTCAAACTGACAGTTTTCCCTAAAGGTCAAGCCATTGTCCTAAACGTATGCAAAAAATAGCCAGATATACTGAGTTTAAGTACCATAAAGTCTGCGTTGAAATTACCCTCTGTTTCCCCATAAAATACAAAGATTATATAGGGAAATACGACTGGTCAGTTTTGACCCATTTCCCTATTTTTCCCAGACATGGCAAATTTTTTTGACACCCCCAGGCATTCTCCTGCCACCTCACAAAGTTTCAAGGGGGGTCGTCGGAGGAAATTTCTTTTTGTAATAGAGCTCATATGAAGAGAATTTCACTCGGGGTCACTTTTTAGCCCTCGTCGAGGGCTTTGAGTAAAACCGACAGTTTTCCCTAAAGGTCAAGCCATTTACCTAAGAGCATGCAAAAAAATTAGCCTGATGTAAAGACGGTAATTACCCTAAAATCCGTTTTGAAATCACCCTCTGTTTTTCCCATAAAATACAAAGATTATATAGGGAAATACAACTGGTCAGTTTTGACCCATTTCCCGGTTTTCCCAGACATGGCGAGTTTTTTTGTGACACCCCCAGGCATTTACCTACCACCTCACAAAATTTCAAGGGGGGTCGTCGGAGGAAATTTTTTTTCTTAATAGAGCTCATATAATGAGAATTTCACTCGCGGTCACTTTTTAGCCCTCGTCGAGGGCTTTGAGTCTAATCGACAGTTTTCCCTAAAGGTCAAGCCATTGACCTAAACGTATGCAAAAAATAGCCAGATATACTGAGTTTAAGTACCATAAAGTCTGCGTTGAAATTACCCTCTGTTTCCCCATAAAATACAAAGATTATATAGGGAAATACGACTGGTCAGTTTTGACCCATTTCCCTATTTTTCCCAGACATGGCAAATTTTTTTGACACCCCCAGGCATTCTCCTGCCACCTCACAAAATTTCAAGGGGGGTCGTCGGAGGAAATTTCTTTTCGTAATATAGCTCATATAATGAGAATTTCACTCGCGTTCACTTTTTAGCCCTCGTCGAGGGCTTTGAGTCTAATCGACAGTTTTCCCTAAAGGTCAAGCCATTGACCTAAACGTATGCAAAAAAAATAGCCAGATATACCGAGTTTAAGTACCCTAAAGTCTGCGTTGAAATGACCCTATGTTTTCCCCATAAAATACAAAGATTATATGGGGAAAAACAACTGGTCAGTTTTGACCCCTTTACGAAGTTTTCCCAGATATGCCGAGTTTTTTGTGACACCCCCAGGCATTCTCCTACCACCTCACAAAATTTCAAGGGGGGTCGTCGGAGGAAAATTTTTTTCGTAATATAGCTCATATAATGAGAATTTCACTCGCGGTCACGTTTTAGCCCTCGTCGAGGGCTTTGAGTGAAACTGACAGTTTTCCCTAAAGTTCAAGCCATTTACCTAAGAGCATGCAAAAAATTAGCCAGATGTAAAGACGGTAATTACCCTAAAATCCGTTTTGAAATCACCCTCTGTTTTTCCCATAAAATACAAAGATTATATAGGGAAATACGACTGGTCAGTTTTGACCCATTTCCCGATTTTTCCCGGACATGGCGAGTTTTTTGTGACACCCCAAGGCGTTCTCCTAGCACCTCACAAAATTTCAAGGGGGGTCGTCGGAGGAAATTTTTTTTCTTAATAGAGCTCATATAATGAGAATTTCACTCGCGGTCACTTTTTAGCCCTCGTCGAGGGCTTTGGGTCAAACTGACAGTTTTCCCTAAAGGTCAAGCCATTGTCCTAAACGTATGCAAAAAATAGCCAGATATACTGAGTTTAAGTACCATAAAGTCTGCGTTGAAATTACCCTCTGTTTCCCCATAAAATACAAAGATTATATAGGGAAATACGACTGGTCAGTTTTGACCCATTTCCCTATTTTTCCCAGACATGGCAAATTTTTTTGACACCCCCAGGCATTCTCCTGCCACCTCACAAAATTTCAAGGGGGGTCGTCGGAGGAAATTTCTTTTCGTAATATAGCTCATATAATGAGAATTTCACTCGCGGTCACTTTTTAGCCCTCGTCGAGGGCTTTGAGTAAAACCGACAGTTTTCCCTAAAGGTCAAGCCATTTACCTAAGAGCATGCAAAAAAATTAGCCTGATGTAAAGACGGTAATTACCCTAAAATCCGTTTTGAAATCACCCTCTGTTTTTCCCATAAAATACAAAGATTATATAGGGAAATACAACTGGTCAGTTTTGACCCATTTCCGGGTTTTCCCAGACATGGCGAGTTTTTTTGTGACACCCCCAGGCATTTACCTACCACCTCACAAAATTTCAAGGGGGGTCGTCGGAGGAAATTTTTTTTCTTAATAGAGCTCATATAATGAGAATTTCACTCGCGGTCACTTTTTAGCCCTCGTCGAGGGCTTTGAGTGAAAACGACAGTTTTCCCTAAAGGTCAAGCCATTGTCCTAAACGTATGCAAAACATTAGCCAGATATACCGCGTTTAAGTACCCTAAAGTATGCGTTGAAATGACCCTATGTTTTCCCCATAAAATACAAAGATTATATAGGGAAATACGACTGGTCAGTTTTGACCCACTTCCCGATTTTTCCCAGATATGCCGAGTTTTTTGTGACACCCCATGGTGTTCTCCTACCACCTCACAAAATTTCAAGGGGGGTCGTTGGAGGAAAAATTTTTTCGTAATATAGCTCATATTAAGAGAATTTCACTCGCGGTCACTTTTTACCCCTCGTCGAGGGCTTTGAGTCAAACCGACAGTTTTTCCTAAAGGTCAAGCCATTTACCTAAGAGTATGCAAAAAATAGAGAGATATACTGAGTTCAAGTACCCTAAAATCCGCGTTGAAATGACACTCTGTTTCCCCATAAAATACAAAGATTATATAGGGAAATACGACTGGTCAGTTTTGACCCCTTTTTCGAAGTTTTCCCAGATATGCCGAGTTTTTTGTGACACCCCCAGGCATTCTCCTACCACCTCACAAAATTTCAAGTGGGGTCGTCAAAGAAATTTTTTTCGTAATAGAGCTGATATAAAGAGAATTTTACTCGCTGTCACTTTTTAGCTCTCGTCGAGGGCTTTGAGTGAAACCGACAGGTAAGCCGTACGGTCAAGCCATTTACTTACAAGCATGCCAAAACTTAGCCAGATGTAAAGAGGGTAAGTGCCCTAAAATCCGTTTTAAAATGACCCTCTGTTTTCCCCATAAAATACAAAGATTATATAGGGAAATACGACTGGTCAGTTTTGATCCCTTTACGAGGTTTTCCCAGATATGTCGAGTTTTTTGTGACACCCCAAGGCATTCTCCTACCACCTCACAAAATTTCAAGGGGGGTCGTCGGTGGAATTTTTTTTTCGTAATAGAGCTCATATAAAGAGAATTTTACTGGCGGTCATGTTTTAGCCCTCGTTGAGGGCTTTGAGTGAAACTGACAGGTCTGCCCTACGGCCAAGCCATTTACCTATAAACATGCCGAAAATTAACCAGATGTAAAGAGGGTAAGTGCCCTAAAATCCGTTTTGAAATGACCCTCTGTTTTTCCCATAAAATACAAAGATTATATAAGGGAAATACGACTGGTCAGTTTTGACCCCTTTTCCCGATTTTTCCCGGACATGGCGATTTTTTTTGTGTGACACCCCTAGGCGTTCTCCTACCACCTCACAAAATATCAAGGGGGGTCGTCGGAGGAAATGTTTTTTCGTAATATAGCCCATATAAGGCGCCGGTCAGTCGAGGTCAGTTTTGACCCCCTCTCCCTAGACTTTTCGGCCAACCGTCAGCGGCCCTCGTGTTCTATCGACCCAAGGCAGCATCGTGCCAAATTTAACGCGCCTGCGGCGCCGGGAAGTGCCATATCGGGCACTTGACCACTTTGCTTTATTTATATAGATATAAACTTTTAACAGTGTCCGACCCCCCGAAGAAAGTCTACCGCCCCCCTCCCCCGAAAATTTTGACTGCCCCCCCCCCCCCCCCCCCCCGGAGAAAAAAGTCTGGAAGAAACACTGCAAGTAGACAGTTCAAGATTCAATATTATGTTATCAGCTGTTACACGCGGTATATATTTTGCTTGAATTGCGCTTCTACTGGTAAACGGGAAATCCCGAATTATTTTCCATATTTACACTGCACACAAATTATCTTATGAACGGATACAGTTGTTTTATTTATCATTGACCTACAACTGTCTTTCTACAAGCAGAGACATGTTGTGAAAGCTGGTAACTATAACTGCCACAAATGTAAATACAGATGTACATTGCGTTTAAGGTAAAACGGGATAGCTGTTTATTTAAAACAAAAAAAAAACATAACGAAAAAACAATTATAAATAACGTTGTATATAAAAGCTTTTCAAATGGCATATAATTAGAAAACAAACAAGCACACGCATTGTAAATGTAAATTTACTATCATATTTGAGATCTAGATCTAGATCTAGTGCGTTTAAAAAAAAAGCTTAGTTTTATTTAGTAACATAAAGCTTATAATAGTTTCTGGTTAAGCTCACAGTTATTATTCCGTACTGGTATAGCAGTAAAAAAAAAAAAACGTTAAACCAGTTGCGTAGTCTTTCATGCCTTGCAGGTATCCACAGGAACAAAGGCGTAGCGACCTTCTCGGCGCCCGGGGACAAACTTTCAATTTGGCGCCCCCTCGGGAGAAAATTTTCAACATTTGCACCCCCACCCCTCAAACTTTCGATCTGCACACCCCCCCCCCACCTAAAACTGCAAAAATGCAGCTAAAATGACATTTTAATTTGATCTTACAACCCATTTTGGCGCCCCTAAGGTCGGCGCCCGGGGACATATGTACACCCTGCCCCCCCCCCCCATCGCTACGCCTCTGCACAGGAATGACTGTAAACCATATTTTATTTGACGCCATATTTTTAAAAGAACATTTAAATTTTGGATAGATTAATCTTTTTTTTTATTAGTAATTGCAATGTTGAATACTTTTTTCTAATCCGTTTGTATTGCTAATTATTTTAAAGTGTTTTTGCCAATTATTGCTGTTACTAGAAATTGCTAAGGTCGTTATTTTTTTTTGGCATTAAGCCTAAAAAGTACCTTGTGTTTTATTACTCCTAACTGACCTACACAAACATTAATTGCCGCTAATAAGCTGTCTTCTAGGTCGTAGATGTGTACAAAACACAATCTTGCCTGGCCTATCATCTGATTTACACAACCTACTTCTTTTACTTTTTAAATTTTTTTTATTGTATTTGAAGCTATTTAAAATGCAGTCAGAATATATGATCGTAAACTCACAAAAAAAGGCTTTCACAAGCCTTAAGACAAGAAAATAAAACAAACTTATTTATCATTATAAAATCTTGTCAATTAAAGAATTTTAAATGTGTTGAAGATATTTAACCTACCAGTAAATGTATATCCATCAACCCACTTCCATAAAATTATGATTATATATATATACTAGATAAATGGCCCGTTGAGGAAGGGTACAACGGGCGCTAGGCTGATAGTGCTGTCTCTTTTCTCTAAACTAAAACCAACCCACCCCCCACACACCACCCCCACCCCCACCCCCCCGACCCCCAGACACCACCCCCACCCCCCACCACACACCACCCCCACCCCCACACACCATCCCCACCCCCCACCCCCACCCCCCACACACACCACCCCCTCCACACACCGCCCCCCCACCCCCACCCCCCCACCCCTCCAACCCCCCCCCCTCCACCGCCCCCCCCCCCCCCCCCCAAAAAAAAACCATGTCTACCGTCCCATTCAACGAAATATAATTATATACTTTTTCCAGTGTCCGCCCCCTCCCAGAAAATTCTACCCCCGCCCCCGAAAATTTCAAGTACCCCCACCCCTCTCCGGGGAGGAAAAAGTCTGAAAGAAACACTGAAACCAACCCACCCCCCAGACACCACCCCCACCCCCCACCACACACCACCCCCACCCCCACACACCATCCCCACCCCCCACCCCCACCTCCCACACACACCACCCCCTCCACACACCGCCCCCCCACCCCCACCCCCACCCCCACCCCTCCAACCCCCCCCCCCTCCACCGCCCCCCCCCAAAAAAAACCATGTCTACCGTCCCATTCAACGAAATATAATTATATACTTTTTCCAGTGTCCGCCCCCTCCCAGAAAATTCTACCCCCGCCCCCGAAAATTTCAAGTACCCCCACCCCTCTCCGGGGAGGAAAAAGTCTGAAAGAAACACTGAAACCAACCCACCCCCCCACACACCACCCCCACCCCCACACACCATCCCCACCCCCCACCCCCACCCCCCACACACACCACCCCCTCCACACACCGCCCCCCCCACCCCCACCCCCACCCCTCCAACCCCCCCCTCCACCGCCCCCCCCCCAAAAAAAAACCATGTCTACCGTCCCATTCAACGAAATATAATTATATACTTTTTCCAGTGTCCGCCCCCTCCCAGAAAATTCTACCCCCGCCCCCGAAAATTTCAAGTACCCCCCACCCCTCTCCGGGGAGGAAAAAGTCTGAAAGAAACACTGAAACCAACCCACCCCCCACACACCACCCCCACCCCCCACCCCCACACCCCCCCCCCCCCCACACACACCCCTCCACCCCCCCCCCCCCCCCCAAAAAAACATGTCTACCGTCCCATTGCAAGAAAACCACTTTTTAGATTAGACACATTAATTTTATTATAGAGTATCGATGAGGAAATTTCTTTTGAGTTGGGGAGGGGGAGGGGCTCAGACGTTCTTACGCGGGGGGTGGGGCTTCGCCCCTACCCGAAGAATTGTATGCAAGAAACTCTTCACGCAAACCACTTAGATAAGACCAAATTGCCTTTGTATTGAATATGTTTACTCGATAATCAATGACGTCATATAACTGTGTGCACTCTCTGGGTTTGAGATTATTTTCTACTCTGTGCGCTAAATGTGTCGACGTCATACTTCGTTTTTCGAATTACTGTGCATGTTTTTAAATTGCTTGTCTTTTCTCTAGAGCGTTCTTGTCAGACAGATAGATAGATAGATAGATAGACAGCGAAACTATTATTATAGATATATATATATATATATATATATATATATATATATATATATATATATATATATATATATATATATATATACATATATGTGTATGTGTGTAAATATGTATATATATATGTATATATATGTATGTATATATATATATATATATATATATATATATATATATATATATATATATAGATATAGATATATATATATATATGTACCATAGCGCATACGACACAGTGAAATCAGTATTAAACATACAATGTTATTTTAACAGCACCTTACCTGTCAGTGATAAGTCTCGGTTTATACGGTGTGCGTATAAGGCAAAGTTATTGCGTGAATTTTGGCACGAGACCACTACTCGTCCTTGGACCGAAACTTCTCCTCAGAACAACCCTGGTGTTTGGGTTGCACTGGGGGTGAGGGGTGACCCCAGAGGCGTAGCGAGGGGGGGGGTGCGGAGCGCACCGGGTGACACCATTTAGGGGGGTGACACCAAGGCAAAAAATAGCAAAATATATAGAGAAAAACTTGAGGGGGGGGGGGTGCAAATCGAAAGTTTGAGTGGGGGTGCAAATCGAAAATTTGAAAGTTTGTCCACGGGAAGGGTCGATGCGCCTCTGGGGGGGGGGGGTGACACCATTAAGTGCCGCACCGGGTGACACCCGACCTCGCTACGCCACTGGGTTACCCTGACCTGGACGAAACCAGAGATCTAGCAGCAGGTATAATTGCTGGGAGATTAGCTCGATAATTAATCATGTTGCTAACAAGTAGGCCTGTTGGTTGAGCAGATAATGAGGGTATAACAAACAAAGCGATTTATTTTTGTTAAAGTTAATTGATGAGATCTTTATAAAACTAATTGGTCAGACATTTATGAAATTAACTAGTCAGATATGTGTAAAACTAAAGGGTAAGATCTTTGTGAAACTAACTGGTAAGATCTTTATAAACTAATTGGTCAGATGTTTATGAAACTAACTGGTCGGCGTGGTTGCTAAACCGAAAAGTCGCGAGTTCGAACCCTCGGACAGAAGAGGCTCGTTAGCTTATGACAGCAATACTTCTAGGAGAGACAACTCCATAATCAAACAACTGCTGCCTTGTAGTTTGTTCTTGGCTGGACAAAGGCTATGGAACCTAACCCAAAAAGAGTTCTGACTCAATGGCCTCAATGGCGCTTTACCACTTCACACGTATACTTAATTGAAGAAAAAGATATTTATAAAACTGATATCTTTGAGAAATTAGCCGTTCAGATCTTGTGAAACTAACCAGTCAAATTGTTCCTGTTACTGTGTTGTTTGGGGACCTAGAATCCCATATGGCATTAAGCTTGTCTCTAGCTTTCCGGTATGTATGTTTCGTTAAGGCGCAATAGAACACATTTTATGCCTTAAATTGCTTATTCTTCAAGAACGACATTTTTCCACGCTGTTTCATTATGTGGCAAAATAATATTAGCGAACCGACCCGCGACGTAGCATACGTCGCTATTTAGTTGGTTTATTTTCCACTTCGACACTACCAATGCTGCAACTAAAAATATTTTGCTTTAAAGCACTATCAGTACCTCGTGAAGGTCGATTATCCTCACCCTCCATCCCCCCCCTTCCCACCCTCGTGAAAGCAGCCGTCCGTAACGACAGTTTAGAGACGAAATGAAAAAATCAAGCAGAACTTTTTATCACCTCCACTTTGTATCAAATCGTTTAAAAACTAAATTATCTGCCCCTAATAGCCATCACTGATTCGACCCGTCTCTACAATTGTAAACTTTCGACGTGAACCACAGCTCACCAGACTGGTAGGGGTGGGGGTGGTAGCGATATGGTCTGTTGAGCATGCCTGGAGAGCGAGGTATCGGGCGGTTCGGCACGCGTATAGGTGGTGGTGTATATATACAAGCTGACCCGCGCCGTAAGCATACGCCGCTATTTAGTTGTTTTAATTTCGGTAATTTTCAGTAATTCATATAATGTGTGAATTCAAAACTACCAATGCTGCGACTGAAAATATTTTGCTTTAAGACACTATCCGTCGCTCGAAAAGGACGATTATCTCACCCTCAATTCCCCCCTTCCCCGCCCACCCTCGTGAAAGCAGCCGTCTTTGACGACAGTTTATAGACGACAATGAAAAGACCAAGCAGAACTTGTTATTACCTCCACTTAGTTTCAAATCGTTTAAAAACTAAATTATCTGCCCTTAATAGCCGTTACTAATTCGACCCGGCTCTACGATTGTAAACATTTAGTGTTAACCACAGCTCACGTGACTGGTATTGGTGGGGGTGGTAATGGCGTGCGTTTAGGTGGTGTCTCGCGTGGTCCCCATGAAGATAATTATACAAATAATAGTTTCGCTGTCTGTCTATGTATCTGACAAGCACGCTACAGAGAAATTACAAGCAGAGTAAAAACATGCACAGTAATTTGAAAAACGAAACGTGACTTTACATGGAGCATATAGTAGAAAATAGTCTAAAGCCGGGAGAGTGCATACAATAATATGACTTCATTGATTCTCGAATAAACATTGAATTAAAAAGCCAATTTTGTCCAATCTTTAAAGTATTTAGCGTGAAGAGTTCCTTCCATGCATCTCTTCGGGTAGGATCGAAGCCCCACCCCCGGTAGAACGTCTCTACCGCCTCCCCCTCCCCCGTCAAAGAAATGACGTTATTGATACTCCATAACAAAAAAAATACTGACATTGCTGCCTAAATTATGTGTCCAATGTTATACGTGTTTTGCGTGAAGAGTTTCTCTTCTGGTAGGGACTAAGCCTCTTTACCCCCCCCCCCCCTCACACACACACACATACGGTAGAACGTCTAATTCCCCCCCCCCCCCCCTCGAAAAAAGGCGTAATATAATTTATATAGAAAATATATACTTTTACCAGTGTCGGCCTCCCCCGATCCGTCGAAATTTATTCGCCCCTGCAAAAATTCAAGTTCCCTACCCCCGGAAAAAAAGCCTGAAACGAACACTGTCTGCGTGAGTAAATCTATCAGTCGAAAGTTGGCAACAGGTCTATATTATAGAAGTAGGTTCTACCTTTAATTTGTATGATCTACAAATGCGACCAGTGTTATTTTCAGAGTTATTCCTCCCCGGAGGGGGGGGGGGGGTATTTGAAAATTTTTGGAGGTGAGGGTGGACTAAATTTTTGGAAGGGGGCGGACACAGGTAAAAATATGTTTTCTATACAAAGTATATTTGGCTGAATGGGACGATAGACGTGCTTTAGGGTGTGTGTGTGTGGAGGGGGGGGGGGGTGCGCGGGTTGGAGCCCCCCCCCCCTAACTGCGACCTAAGTCGTGTTTGAGATTAGGTGCAAGGTTTAGTGGTATGACTTAGACTATGTTTAGTATCAACATGCAGTAACTACGCGTAGATCAAGCTTAATCCCGGTTAAAATACCAATTCTGGTCAGAAATCCGTTTTCAATGACATTTGTTGTTTCCGGTTAAAATTAAAGTTGAGGTGGTGATTTTGTTTTTAGTTTCAATTTAGAGGAAAAGACAACACTATCAACCTAGCGGCCGTTGTATCTCCCCCTCAACGGGCCATTTATCTCGTTATATATATAAATAGATAGATAATATTTCATTGTTTTTTTTGTGTATTTTTTTTTTACATAGATAAGTGTGGGGCTATCAAACGTTGGCTTTTTACAAAACATTTCTGGATAACAATGATGCTTGTATGGTTGTTGGTTTTTCTTTTATTTCATCTTGGTAAGTTGTCGCTTACTTAAATGCAAAATATATTTCATTTTTTTTTTCAAAATGGCTGTTTGCTAATATTGGTGACATCTAAGCATTGGATATATTTTCAGGGGTCGAGTTCGAACCCTCGGGCAGCTAAGACACGTTAGCTGGAGAGAGACACTCTTCTAGGAGAGATAACTCCAAAATCAAACAACTGCTATCTTGTAGTTTGTTTTATGTTGAACAAAGGCTGTGGAAGCTAATCCAATAAGAAAAGCAAACTGAAATCAGAGTCAATGGCCAATATGGCGCACAACAAGTTAACACTTCATTCTATTACACCGAATCCCTCCAACACTAGAATTAAGAAAGAAGAAAAAGAAGTTTAATTGTATTGATTGCAGTTATTATCAGGTCTAACATTAACATGATTTGAATGTGTAATATTGCAGGAAACGCCTATTCCGAAACCAAACCGAAAAACAATACATTTGTCGCCGTAATAGTGGATTTTGAAGTGGACTGTATCCAGTATTATTGTCAACATACCAGGAAAATTTTTGGGTTCTTCTGGCATCCGCTCACAAAGGAAACAGCAATCTTTGACTCATGCGTCAGGCTCGACGTCTATTATTGCAAAGCAAATTACCAGTTTAGCAGATGCCAAAATCGCGACTATTGGAGCATGGTAAGTCAACGGTCTACCGTCAAGTGAAGCATCCTCTTTTGACTGAACGATCTAAAGGGTAGGTGAAGTAGAGTTCATGTGTTTCTTGACCTCGACCCACGAAGGAAAAGTGTGGTCAGAATTTTGCCAAGTCTCCTTTACTTTCCCTAGCATTAGTTGGGTGTCCATTAGAGCGGGGTGGACTCAGGGACGTTCTACTGACTTGGACCCGGATTCAAACAACCGTACTATCCTTTGAATAATCGCATTTGAATAATCGTCAAACGACTGTTTTCAAGCAGAAAATGACTTCTTGTATTAATTCTTTAAAGCAAGAAATTATCAACCAATATAAACAACACGCGTCCTCGCAATTTAAATAACAAAACAATGCATAGCCAACAATTTGGAAGTGAAAATCCTTTATTGAGGTTTTTATTAATATCTAAGCTTACTTTACAATTTTATATAAATTAAAAAAAAAAACGTATTGAGCTAGTGCATATAAAAGCAGTTTCTTTATTGAAAATTCTTGAAAATTTTAAGATTTAAAAAAAAAACCAATAACTCAGTTTTAAAATCTCATTTTTGTGACATTTACTTTTGAGCGTCCTACCTTCGAGATAATCGACAAATATTCGACATCCGTTCAGACAAATGAACCAAGACAGGGATACATTCAAGGATAATATATAACATAGAAATGTTAATGCTCAGGAATTTTCAAAGCATATCGACTATTAGTCCTGTTGTCAAATAAATAGCAACAGAATAATTCGCATCAAAATTGGACAAAAATCTATATGATTTATGCTACGGGAGATCATACCTTTTAAATGATATTTTCTAAAAATCAAGGTATACGTCGCTATAGAACGTATTTTGACGGTTTTATTTTTTTTTTTAAATCAGCATTTTATTGCAAAATATACTTGAAAATAATTCTTATAGACAAGTTATTTGTTTCTTTTAGGTAGTTTTCATGTTTCTGAATAATATTTTAAGAGGCGTACTCTTGTGTAATAGGTAATCAATTCTCATTACAAAAAATATATATTAAAACCAAAAGTAATTAAACTGTTAATGCTCTCATAAAGTAATAACGTTATTTCTTATGCGAATTCTAAGCAGAATTAATAGTTTGTTTTGAGTAGTATTTAGTTGAAAAAATTCTCAAAGAGCCTTCCTACACCACTACGTATTTTGTTTGCTTGATTTATCTAGGTTTTCGGACATGAAAAGCTTCATACCTATTCAGATGTGGCTAGCTTGCTACACCTATGTATCCGTGATGAACCAGTTCAGAGGTGGATAGCTTGCTTCACCTGTGTTTTCATGATGTAGCATTCGAACCATTCCAATTCCGATACGGAAAGTTAGCCTCACTTTGGTTTCCGTGATAAAAATAGCCTTAAACTTAAACCACACAAACTAAGATGTGGTTAGCTTGCTTTCACCTATGTTTCCGTGATGTAGTTCCCCTTAACTTTAAATCACACCAATTCAAAATGTGGATAGCTTGCTTCACAGAGGTTTGTGTGATGAAACTCCCCATAGCCTTCATAGCATCCAATGGGCTATTGGCGCATAACATACTGACGCGCAATACTTAAATATGTTGGAGTTCATCTTCTCTGATATGACAATTCTGAGAAAAGATGACGTGAGAAGATTGGATCACGTAATACTGGAATAGAAACTTCATAGCTACATATCATCTGCCTATGTTGAGCATATAGATAAGGTAATCAGGGCCAAGAAATGCTCCTTAACTACAGGAACACTGGTGGAATTTGAGTCTCTTTTCTTGCTGTCAATAGCTAAGGTTATAGGGACTTTGCAGATCTTTTAAGACTTCATTGTTCAATGTGTAACGTTTATTTATTTTCATTTTCAAAACTTAATCTTTTGCAGCTCTGCACCATTTGGGAATTCAGTTACAGCACGGAATACTGTCCGAACTTGGTGAAAGCGAGTTGTCAGTGTAAAAAAGATAGCGGCAATCGATACAACTTTACCTTCAACCCGAAGCACTATAATTGGCTGAAAGTGGTTTTCATTAAAGGGGAAGCGGACGTGGTAGAAGAGTCGGATATCATCGGAGAAAGCCCAATATTCCACGCAAATAACTATCCAGGTTCGA